GACTGGGGAGGCGGAATCATAAATAGCTAAGAGTAGTAGGGCTCAGTGAGCAGAATCAAGCCTATTCCCAAATCTTGAGGAACGTATCTGGTGAAGGGATAGTATAGAAGAATGGAGTGGGCCTCCATGGGTCTAGGGCCTAGACTGGGGAGGTGGAATCATAAATAGCCGAGTAGTAGGGCTCAGTGAGCAGAATTACTACCGGGTTCTCCTTGAGGAACGCATCTCGAGTCTTGGAGAACGGTGGTCAGTTTTTCATTTACCAATAGAGAATTCATCGGTCCTTGACCCTTCATGAGTTGACCCGGGGCTTCTTCCAAGCTTTGCCTATACTCAGGACAAAAACACATCTCATAACCTTCGACCTTAACACAAAGAGAAAAACACGAGTTTGGCCAGAGCATAATCTGGGAGGTTCCTTCGAGGGGCCAGAAAACAGTAAAGACCAGGAGGAGCGGGGTGCCTAGTAAGTGTCATACTCATCACCTAGACCAGGGGTGGGGCAACTCCGGCCCTCTAGCTGTTGTGGAACTACAAGCCCCATGAGGCATTGCAAGACTGACAGTTACAGGCATGACTCCCAGAGGCATGTTGAGATATGAAATTAAAGCACGGCTGGAGGGCCGGAGTTGCCCACCCCCTGCCCTAGACTGACAATATTCCCCCCCAGGGTTTGATCTGCACTGCAGACGAGTGGTACGTGGCAATTATATGGTAACTGTGCGATGGCCTTCATTTGGAAAAGTCCCCCAACACACTACATAGTATTTGAGGTTGAATAAAGACATAAGTCCATCAAGTCCAACCCATTGCGTGTGTGCATTTATGTGTTGATCATTGGCAGTCTCGCTGGCCAGCTAACTTAGGACCCCACCTGGAGCTCCTCCCACCGGACCAGCGCTGAGTCGCCGCTGCTGCTCTCCCGCACCGAAGGTAAGCGAAGGAAAAAAAAAAACACAGCGCAAGCATCGGGGCATTTTGACAAGCACAAGTACTTCTCAAAATGCACTGTTTTTTCCCGCCCTCACCCTGCAGAGCCCTCAGGCAGCCGCCTGACTTGCGGTAGCGCCGGGCGTGCCCCTGTATGTTACCTGTACCCCTGTATGTTACCTGTACCCCTGTATGTTACCTGCACCCCTGTATGTTACCTGCACCCCTGTATGTTACCCGCACCCCTGTATGTTACCCGCACCCCTGTATGTTACCCGCACCCCTGTATGTTACCCGTACCCCTGTATGTTACCCGTACCCCTGTATATTACCTGTACCCCTGTATATTACCTGTACCCCTGTATATTACCTGTACCCCTGTATGTTACCTGTACCCCTGTATATTACCTGTACCCCTGTATGTTACCTGTACCCCTGTATATTACCTGTACCCCTGTATGTTACCTGTACTCCAAGGAACGCTTCCAGGAGTCTCTTGAATGCTTCCCCACTCTTAGCTGAGATCACTTCCTGCGGCAGCGAGTTCCAGACCCTGACCGCTCTGACTGTGAAGAACCCCCTTGCGCCCCGTGCAGTGAAATTTTTTCTCCACCAATTTTTGGTGGTGGCCTCTAGTCCTTGTTATGGGGTTCATTGTAAAGAGTTTCTTAATAATGTTGATGTCGCCATTGAACATTTTATACAAGAAAACTCACGCCCCCCCCCTTAATCTCCGCACTTCCAAAAGAGAACATATTTCATTTTAACAGCCTCGTTTCATAGTTCAGGTCCTCCAACCCCTTAATGAGTTTGGTTGCCCTCCGCTGGACTTTTTCCAGCTCAAGGACGTCCTTTCCGAGTACCGGTGACCAGAACTGGACCGTGTACTCCAGATGAGGCCGAACCAACGATCTGTAAAGTGGCAAAATGATAGACTTGTCCCTGCGATACATTCCCTCCTAATACAGGACAGGACCCTGCTAGCTTTGTGTACCGCAGCCTGGCACCGCGCGCTGTTCTTCACTAATAACACATACGTACGATACACATTACCACGGAGCCATAGTACACCGGCAGACAATCCAGTGCACGCCTGCGTGGAATCCTCGCAGCCAACAAAGGGTTAATGACAAGCAGCGAGAAATGCCGAGCGCATTCCTGGCAGCGAAAATAACCCGTCTTCTGTTTTAGGCAAAATATTGCCATTGAAAGAAGGAGCAGAAATAACATGGCGGTGTCCGGGGCCGGCCCTGCGTTATCGTATTTTGTATACACTGTGTACACACACACACACACACACACACACACACGGTGTTGTCTGCTTTTTGTTACATTCGGCTCACTGAATGTCTTCGACTTGCTGGAAGGAGAAGGAAATATTATACATTGTATATAGAAAAGAGAAACAATGTAGAGGGGCTGAGAGATATTTATAAAGCTGCGGCCCCTCCGATCCCGTGACAATAGAAGGGACACGTTCATAAACATTGATACATTCAGGATTAGAATTCTTAAAGGGGCGGTACACTCCAGCTCCGCAATCAGCGGCGTCCGTCCGCACTCACTATTTAGCGCACCGACCCGGCCCCCCAAATCGGTTTCTTTTTCTCATTTTTGAACAAAAAGGTGACTGTGACGATCGTATTACACACACACACACACACACACACACAGATTTATATTCATTCATTCCAAAATCGAAAGTTACAATGAAACAAAATGTCAACGACGTTTGTTAAGTCTCCGATGACATAAATCGAACGTTGTCACCTCATCTGCCCGGCGCTCTCACCTCACCATTCATCGCTCTGACCTCACGGCGCTCTCACCCCCTCAGCCTGGCGCTCTCACCTCACCATTCATCGCTCTGACCTCACGGCGCTCTCACCATTCATCGCTCTGACCTCACGGCGCTCTCACCATTCATCGCTCTGACCCCACGACGCTCTCACCATCCATCCCTCTGACCCCACGGCACTCTCACCATCCATCGCTCTGACCTCACGGTGCTCTCACAGCCTCAGCCCGACGCTCCCACCTCACCATCCAACGCAACAACCCACCACCGTCCAAGGCAACAACCCACCACCGTCCATCCAACGCAACAACCCACCACCGTCCATCCAACGCAACAACCCACCACCGTCCATCCAACGCAACAACCCACCACCGTCCATCCAAAGTAACAACCCACCGTCCATCCAAAGTAACAACCCACCGTCCATCCAAAGTAACAACCCACCGTCCATCCAACGTAACAACCCACCGTCCATCCAATGTAACAACCCCCCACCGTCCATCCAATGTAACAACCCCCCACCGTCCATACAATGTAACAACCCCCCACCGTCCATACAATGTAACAATCCACCACCGTCCATACAATGTAACAACCCACCGTCCATCCAATGCACCAACCCACCGTCCATACAATGTAACAACCCACCATCCATCCAATGCACTAACCCACCGTCCATACAATGTAACAACCCACCATCCATCCAATGCACCAACCCACCGTACATACAATGTAACAATCTTCATTCATTAAATCAATCTCATCTTTCCTAAATCAATTCCCATACAACATCAATCGGCCACAAAACAAAAAGTTCCCTTCGGGTCTTTCCTGCCCTTCCAATCAGCTGACTCCATCATCCATTGATCATTTATCGATTACATATCGGAAGATCAGAAAAGCCCATCAATCTCTATAAAACATATAGTGACACAATAGGAGAGGACTCACAGTCTGTGGATTCGCTGATCGTGAAGAGCCCGACAACGAGGATCAGCAGCGAGCACAGCCGGGGGGAATCCATACTCCGATCAACATTCACCGCCAGCGAAAAGTGTCCGGACCGATCACCAGGAAAATCAGATCGATAGAGGAAGTGCCATGGACGATGTGTGTTGTATGACGCCGATCACTGAACTCAACTGACAGGAGCCCCCGAAATCATCACCTGTGTGCGAGGGCGGAGCCAGGGGCGGGGTCTCGTTCTACAATGACAGGTGCAGGTAGGAACTGTGTGATTCTCAGGACTACCCAGAAGCTGATTGGCGGAGACTGGGGAGACCCGCCCACCGGCTCTTTAAATCCGACATGTCATAGCGGACAGCTGCGTGTGTGAGAGACAGAGAGATCAATAGATACAGGATAGGTAACAGATCGATAAGATATACAAGGGATAATGGATCGATATAAATAGATA